CGGAAGAGTTGCGGCAGCAGCTGCAGCAGGAAAAAGTATCAAGATTCGAAGTGGAGCACTTGCTAGAGCTCCAACGAGAGTCTCACAGGCCTTGCGTTGGTGAAACTCCCTCATGAGAGAGTTTCACCAACGCAAGGCCTGTGAAGCCGAAGTTGCAGAATTTCTGCGGCTGCTGGGGCAAAGATACCCTGGACTTGTATGCAGTGTAATGACCGGTTGAATTCGTTGCGTGCCTCTCCAAAATCATGTTGGAACATTCAAGAACTTTCTTGTTCTCAGCATTGATAGAGGCGTTATCAGTCGGAAGGCCCACACCGAGCTGCAGCATTTGAACGAATTGCAGCGGGCATCTTGTGTGCAAGACTTTCACTACCGCAAAGGCTTCGCAAGCCGAAGCACGAGATCCAAGGGCCTCTGGAGGAGACCTCTGAGAAGCCGAGTAAGGTGCACAGTCATGGGCCCACACAACGCGAGTGCGAGACGGAGCTCCGTCTCGCACTCGTGTTGTGTGGGCCCATGACTGCGCACCTTACTCGGCTTCTCATGCCACGAAGCAGGCGACTGCCTGCGCCGTGAAAAAAGACTCGCCCGCCCTGCAGCAACTCCGCTCGGAGCTAGAGGTGGCTCGAGGCAAAGCCTCCGAGGCGCAGGAAGCTACGGAAGAGTTGCGGCAGCAGCTGCAGCAGGAAAAAGTATCAAGATTGGAAGTGGAGCACTTGCTAGAACTGCAGCGAGAGGCTCTTCTAAGGGAGTTTCACCAACGGAAGGCCTGTGAAGCCGAAGTTGCAAATTTTCTGCGGCTGCTGGGGCAAATATACCCCGAACTTGCATGCAGCGTAGTGACCGGTTGAATTGGCTGCGGGCCTCTCCAAGTTCGTGTTGGAACATTTAAGAACTTTCTCGTGCTCGGCATTGATAGGCGCGTTATCAGTCGGAAGGCCCGCGCCGAGCTGTAGCGTTTGAACGAATTGCAGCAGGCATCTTGTGTGAAGAGTTTCGAGTTTCACTGCCGCAAAGGCTTCGCAAGCCGAAGTTGGACGAATGTCTGCAATAGTCAGCACAAGCACATCTTTGCATTGCACGAGATC